TCTAAAACAAAGGATGTTTTGTTCATTTCGTGCATGTCATGATAGTTAAGGGACAGAGAATTTTTCAAATTATTTTTTAAAATTTCATACCTAGAAAATGTTTTAATTTTAATATTATCTTGTCTTTTGTCTACGACGATTTGTACGATCAACCAAACTTCCGAAGATAATGATACAAGGAGCAGGGAGACTTGAAGATACCAATGCATATCAGTGTTCTAAAACTAATATTTTTTGTGGATATAGGATATGATAAGATCATCAAAGATACCATATTTATCAACCAACTAATTCACGAGAACATATATGTAAATATCTGATAATGAGTATAATATCTATTCTAAGAGGTATTTGACAACAATATTTTATCGTCATCTCAAAGAATAGTATTTACTGCTTAAGGTTGCTAGATACCTATAAAAATGATGTTATGAACAAAAGTACCTATCATTATACCAATATTGATGAAGGACGACATTCATAGTCAATGTTTTTGCATATTTAAATTGTCAAAAGGGTCATTATATTCAAATTTTCGAGAGGTCCATCAAATTAAAAACCCAAGAGGGCCATCACATTTAAATGTCGAGAGGTCTATTCATATTCAAACGCCAAGAGGGCCATTGCATATTAAAGATCTGGAGAGGGCCATCATATTTCAAACCGTCGAGAGGTCCATCATATTCAAAAGCCAATATGGCCATTCATATTCAAATTCCAAGAGGTTCATCATAATCAAAAGCCGAGCGGACATTCATATTCAAATTGTCGTGAGGGCCATTCATACTCAAACTTCCAAGAGATTCATACATATTCAATTGCAAAGAGAGCCAGCAGATTCAAATCGCCGAGATGCCCATTCATATTCAAACTCCCGAGAGGGTCATTCACATTCGAAATGCCAAGAGGGCCAATTGCATATTCAACCGTCGAGAGGGCCATTACATACTCATACCACCAAGAGAACCATCAATATATCACATCAGTCTTATTTTTACTTATTCGATATCAAAACAAGAGTACAGTAAAGAATTATATTAAAGTACGAGATACGAGCTTTATTTTCTTTACGTCAAACTGAAAGAAGTTGAAGTTATATATTCATGGAGAATAATTAAGTCCCAACATGGTAAATGACGTACATTATCTCTCCATTTGAATTATACTTTACACTAATGAGTTTTATCTCAGTCTTTGTCGAGAGAATCCGAGAGGATGAATACTCAAATTAAACCATAAGTTCGGACGACATCAAAAAAGATGCAGCACAACGTGGAACTTTTTCTTAGTAGTGAACTGGGACATAGTCCAAAGAGGAGTGTCATAATCCTAGGACGCGAGCTGAGGAGAGACTTTCACCATAATCAAACCACACCACTATCAGAAGGCGTTTCGGATTTTCTTTGGGTTTATGGATTTCAATTCTGCATCCGAAAAACTTTTCCCTCTCACTGGACACAACTTTCTAATCCGAGTGACAATGCATCAAGAGCTTTGGAAATTATGTATTTGCTCATAGATATGAAGAGCTCCACATTCATGGACAAGAGGTTGAAAGCCCTTTTTTCATAATTTAACTTATTTGTCACTCTTCCAAAATTGAAGGTTATCTAGCATAATAGATTTCTTTTTCAACCGATCGAGTTAAACTACAAAAAACCTGATATCTAAGGTATAAGGATATGTAGTCGAGCTGAATGTTGAAAATCGACTGTATTTCGATAACCTCTTTCAAATCTTATTCTGGAGCATTCAAGCCTCATCATAATTTGGTATCAGGATAGCCTAATTCTTCCAAAACCGTGAATCAACTTAAGTGTATCAAACTATAAGTGGTCTGAATTCTCATATAGCATATGATGTCTAGAAAACCCGGCCCGGGAGTTCGGATATAATTTCTAAAGTCTGTACCAAAATCTCTTTTCTAAGGATGAATATTTGGTCACTCAAAATTGGATTCATCAATTCATTTGCCTAATATTTCATTCATTTATGCAAGTGAAAGGAGGGGCAGCTGTTTACACCCAATTTTGGACCTCCAATATATAAATTAATCGTCGTACTTCTTCATTTTTATTATTTTTAAATAATATATATGATATATATAATCATGTATATAATTAATGTATTTTAAATATTCAAAAGTCATCTCAAAAGATTTTACATTTTAGTTAAATATTTTATTATTTTACTTTAGTTTAAGTCTTAATTATAATTTTGAGTTAATTACTTTGAAATTAAATCAATTATTTTATACTTGAATTAATTATTTTATTTCGTTAAGATTAAGAAACTCATTAATTTATTTATAAACGATTTTGAGCTACTTCCTAATTACCCAATTCCATCAGCCCATCAACAACAATTCTTTTTTACTTTACAAGCCGACTGGCTTTTGGAGTTAATAACAAAGATTCAGCCCACCAGCCTTGTCCAAATACAACAAAATCACACAACATAATACACATATGACCCCAACTCCATCAGCAACCCAATGTCCATCCAATATTTTTTAGCATGACCTGACCTTCGCTCATCTTCTTCACGCGAGAACAGTGAAGAACGCTCTGAAACCAGGAAACGCGACCCCTGTACTTGTTTGCATAGTAATTCCGTAAAAGTGTCAACAGTACTATTCCATCACCAACACCGTTTGCTTTTTACCCCTTTTCAGAACTTCCCATGCCTTTTATTGTTGATCTCGAAAAGTAGCAAAGGAAAATATAAACTCTTTTTTTCAAAAATCCAATGAATTCCCCCCTCCTAAATCGCTCTTTTCTTCCCTATAAATTACTGTACTCTCAGCGATTGGTGGAAAGTTTTGATATTAGATTTGGATGGTTCAAGTTTAGTTCTTTGGGAATACTCATTTTACACTCAAAAAATTTTGAAACGATTCTCTAATCTTAAGCTCTTAGAAGTTTTCTATTTAGATTCTTCATAGGAATTCTTGGCTTACCATTCGTATTGAGATTTTGAGGTGTTGAAATCGGTACGTAAATTTGAGATTTTTAGCATGTCGATTATTTGCTTTTGAATGTTCGAGGTATTAAAATGTTTATATGTGCAAAATATTACAAATTACTTTTGACTACAAACCGGTAGTCTAACCTGTCTATTACTTGAATGTTGTTGTTGGGTTTCTTGATGATGTTGTTTGGGTCTCAAATTGGTTTCTTCCTGTTGATGTTTCCTTATTTTACTGTTAGTCTCAATTGTTGCCCACGAGTTTTGTTTTAGTTCTGAAGTTGTGAATATAGATTGCTTGTTTTCTCAATATGTGAGGGTGTTTGATTTTTTAGTTAACATAAATCATGTGATTAGATTAGTGTACTTCCATATCTCCCTTCTTATGACATCTGCTCATTTGACATTCAAAACTGGATATTTTAGTTTATTTGTTAATCGTTTGCATCACTGAAATCTTGATTATGGTAAAGTCAGTTTGTATATTCTTTGTTTTTCAATCATACCAAGTTAGCTTGTGATTAATCTCTAGTTAAAGTGAGTAAAAAATGATGTCGAATAGTTGCTTGAGAAAATTAAGAGAAATGTGTCAAATAAGTCTCATTTTTTGTTTTTGGTGACAGATTGACTAAGAGTTGGTCAAATCCTCTTTAAAATATAATTACGTAAATATGATGCCAAATTAACATTTCTAAAACTTTATAATCTTTTATAAAATACAAAAAAGCACACTTCTTTAATTCAAACCAAATTAATTTTTTTTTAAAAAAAGAATCTTTTCATCTTCTTCCTCTCTTCATTCTTGAGGGATTGCTCTTCTTTTTTCTTAAAAATTCAAAAATCCCTCGTTATTCTTCCTCCTCAGTCCTCCATTATCTTCCTCTCCAGTCGTTACTCCCTCATCTTTCTGAAATGTAATCCTGTTCGACTAGAAATGGGTAAATTATTTTTTGAAATATTTTATAATTTTCGAAGTTTTTTTCTTGGATTAATGAACAATAAAACGTTCCGTAGATGTTAAAATTGAATAATCGACTTAATGGTGTGTATTTTTTTACTATTTTTGAAAGAAAATCAACCAACCCAAAAAATCCTCATTTTGAGCAAATGTATATGAATTGTTATCATTCAGTGAAAAGTCATTTTTTTTGTTGTTGTTCTTTTTGTGGACATTTTGATGATATAATTTTAGAAATATAGTATTGTTCAGGTGTCTAACATATATTTCATTTGTTGAAACATTTAGCGCATGTTGCCACATTTTAGTGATATGTTAGTACATATTCAAAGTGTTATCATATGTTGTAACATCTCAATTTAGGTTAACATCTTGAACATTTGTTGCCACATAAGATTCATATGTTGCTAATCGCTACATTTGTGTCAACATATGATTCATATGTAGCAACATAAGATCTATATGTTGCAACATTAATTTTATGTGTCGTAATAGCAGGAACATATGTGGCAACATGATGTTAATTTATCGCAACAGACTATCCATCTGTTGCAACATACTGCTATTATTATTTTATAATGAATTGTAAAATCTCAATCTTTTTTTATTTACCTTGTAGATGAAATGATGTAAGAAACTTCATCTTCTAACATGAAATGATCTTTTTGTCTATGCGAAGAATGTGCCCAGCAACATGGTTATTTTATTAGTCGTATTAAAAAACTCACTGATATTTTTAAGAAAATGTCTCATAATACTAATTTTTCCAAAGATCCAAGAAGATTTCACTGCCTTTGAAGTGTAGGAGGTTGAAAAAATATATTTCCCAAACACTTTATGTAATCAGTGAGAAGAAAGAAAAGGAGAAGAAGGCAAAGGAGAAGAAGGAAAAGGAGGAGAAGGAGAATAAGACAAAGGAGGAGAAGGAGAAGGAGAAGGATAAATATAAGGAGAAGGAGAAGAAGGCAAAAGAGGAGAAGGAGAAGGAGAAGAAGGAAAAACTAAAGAAACAGAAGGAGAAGGAGAAGGAAAAGGAGAAGAAGGCAAAGGAGGAGGAGGAGAAAAAGGAGAAGAAGGCAAAATAGGAGAAGGAGAAGGAGAAGAAGAAGAAGGAAAAGGAGATGGAGAAGGAGATAGAGAAAAATAAAGAGAAGAAACTTGAAGTCGTCAGTTGTAAATATCCATTTAAAGGTTATAATATTAACGGTGACGGTCCAACTGAACTAATGTCATCCATCTCGCAATGAATAAACGAGGGTCTTTACAAGCATCATGTAAAAAAGTAAGTAAAGTACGGTCGTTCAACTATTATTAGTTTTTCTTCTTGTTGTCCACTAAATAATTATTTATAATGATTGCACAATTGCAGAGGAAACAAGGAGGATCACTACTTAGCCAATTGCTCAAAACTTGATATTGACCAACTTTATTTTGTAGTTGCATTTCCAAGAAATAAGGACTGGTTCTACATAATGTCTCAACCCAATAAGTCCTAGAGTGATGAGGTAAATCGATTCCCACTTTTAAATTTATTGTTTAGTACATGAATATATACAATTAAATTGATACACTTGTCTGATGCATGTGTGCAGTATGTGGATGTCATATTTACTATTTGTGTAAGAAGTTGAAGCAAAGATTTAGTCTAAATATCAGTGTACCACCACTAGTTGTTTTTTCAAAACATACATTGACAATGCTAGTGAATATTAGGATAAAATTGTTGGCATAATGAAAGGGTTTGGTATACCTTGTGCACTACCTTGGGACCAGGCAAATGATGTTTATGTCCTTGTAAATAGTAATGGGGAATTCCATTGGGTCTTGGCAGTCGTTGCATTGAAGGAACGGTGCGTAAAAGTGTATGATTCTTTGTCATCAACTAGGTCTAATAGAAAATTATCTTCCGAGATTAAAAAGTTGTCTACAATGTTGCCCAAGCACCTTGAGTTAAGTGAATTTTTTGAGCAAAAAGAGCGAACCAATAGGTCAGTTCTTAAATGTTACCAAGGAAAGAACAAATCTCACCTATTCGAAGTCAGACATGTTACTGGTATTTCTCAACAAAAAACAATAGTCTGTAAGTATCACATTACTTTTTTGTCTTACAACTATCAAAATTTGATGTTATTATATATTCTGATTGATGATATGCCCTGCAGAGATTGTGGACTTTATGTTGCTGCCTACGCTCAGTTTTTGAGTGATGGATTAGAAGTACCATCATGTGAAATTAGTGCTGACACCCTTCGCTTGAGATATGCTTCACACCTTTGGAATTGTGGGATCTCCCAGGCTCGAAATGGCTATGTTACTAACAATGAAGAACCGAAGATGCCTAGACCTAAAAAAGCTAAGATCGATGACAATGTTGTGTTAACAACTATTGATTAGATAGGTGGTTATGTATATCATATCATTGTGAATTACCTTTTTGTTGATAAGTTGTATAAAACAATTGGGTGAATTGTTAATTAAAATGCTTTTTTGATTATTTTGATTTTGTTTACATAAATGTCAATTATGATGAAAAGGATCAAATGTGTTGTCTGTGGCAACATATGTAATTTATGTTGCAATAAACACGAAAAAATTATATGTGGCAATAGATAGTATATATGTAGAAATAGATAGTGTATATGTGGCAACATATGTCATTTTTGTTGTAATAAACACGACAAAATTATATGTGGCAATAAATCGTATATATGTAGCGATAAATAGTATATATGTGGCAACATATGTCACAGTTTGAATTGTCATAATTAAAAAAAACTAAAACGACTTTAATTTCCATTTTCCCTCTCTCCTCTCCTCTCTCTCCTCTCTCCTCTCTTTTACAAATGTCGTTTCGTATTCCAAGATTTATTTATTTATACTAATTAATTCCAGTTTTTTCTATACTTTTCCAGTATTCCCTTCTCCTTCTCTTCTTCTCTTCTCTTCCTTCCTTCACGGATCATCTTCTGCAGCAAGGCGGTGTTGTCCTCATAATTTCTACTTTATCATTGATATATATCTTCTCAAGTAATATTTAATTAGGGTTTCAAATGCATGTGCTTATCTGCTTATTTCCTTGTTTAAAATTGTGGTTGTAGCTCATGTGTGAATATTTTATTTTGTGGTTCCAGATACAAATATAATGGCTCATGTGAAAAGAAGACTTGATATTGATACATCTGACCAAACAAAGATCCAAAAGAAGGCTAGGTCTAAAATTGCTAGGAAGAGGAACGAAAATACTACACTTATAGAAAATCTTGCAACTGAAGCAGTTTCTTCTTCTCATACAAAAGTAGAATTTTGTCAAAAAGAATATGAAGAAAGACAAGTAGTGGAGGAGGAAGATGAAGAACAAGAAGAAGTGGAGGAACAAGGGAAAACAAATAAAGTTCGGGAAGAAGAAGAAGAAAATATAGAAGCAACAGTTCACGAAAAGTTCAATGCTAGGGGTGATGATGGGATTAAAATCATTAATGCAGACACTTTCCATTTGTATTAGCAGCTGATGCTAATGGTGACAATATTATTAGGTCAGTCCTAGGAGGACCTTTCGTCAAATTCAGGGATATCCTCAAGAGAAATCAATTGGAAGACTTTTTCAGAAATAGTTATTTCGGTCATTTTCTTGATTTATCCATTGATCCACTTCGACGTTTTCAAATGAACATCGTGTATGAACTTCTTAAAAAAAGGTTCATTTTTTAAAATCCCAATAAGAAGGATGAGATTGTAATTAATTATTGTGGCATGTCAGTTTTCTTTGGCATAAGAGAGTTTGCCATAGTTACAGGGCTAAAATGTCATCGTCCTGTTGAGCCCATTCCTGAATACATTGTTAAAATAGGACCAAGAAGAAGACAGAAAGTAGTAAGAGAAGTACCAGAAGTAGGAAAATAGTCACTATCAACTGAGGAACACGACTTGATGTCCCTTGTTGGCAAAATCTTTAAAAATTCTGACTTAGTAAATTTGTTGAAACGGGAGGATACACCAAGGAATCACTAGGAGTCATTGTGTTTACTTTGGTTTACACATAATATACAAGGATCCGAGCAACAACATACTTTTTAAATATGTCAATTTCTGTCAGGATATTGAGGCTTTCAACAACTACACGTGGGCTTATGAGAGCTTTCATCTAACTGTCGACTGCTTGTTAAGGACTTTAGGAGAAAATATTAAGGACTTGTTTGGGTTTCCATGGGCTTTCATGGTAAAACTGAATGTTTTTAATCTTTTTATATTATATTAAGTAATAATTCAACATTTGATTATTGACATGCTTTCCTTTTTTTATAGGTCTGGGCATTTGAAGTCATTCCTTATTTGACTCATCAATTAATTGCAAAAAAACAGATATCATCCCCAAGGATGTTGAGATGGTTGATATCAAGAACAAAAACTACAAAAGAAGGGCATATTTCAGATCTTTTTAACCCTCCTGATGATGCAGTAAGTTATTATTAGTATATTACAAGCATATTTTTCTACATATGTCTCTTATGTTGCTACAGATGATTCATCTGTTGTTACATGTGACACTAATGTTGCTACAAATGAATCATGTGTTGCGACATGTGCCAAATATTTTGCTACAGATGAATTGTCTATTGCGAAATATGTTAGAAATGTTGCTACAGTTGAATCATGTGTTGCAACATGTGCCATATGTTGCTACAGATGATTCATCTGTAGCAACATGTGACATAAATGTTGCTACAGCAGAATCATGTATAGGAACATTTGTAACACATGTTGCTATAGATGACTCATCTGTTGCGACATCTGACACAAATGTTACTACAGATGAATCATCTGTTGCAACATGGTAATTCTTACTGATGACTCATTTTTACAATTTTAGGTTGTGCATCCTTGGGTTTCCCCCAACAGAAGAGGAATTGCAAATGTCATATATCATAACACTAGGGTTGGTTGAAACCATTTTTAATCTTGTTATGGATAGAGTTAAAATGGTGTTAGTTGGTGCAACAACCATCAAAAGAGACAGAGTTCCTAATGAAGTCATTAATGAATTAGTTGTTTTTTATGGTGCTGGTGCTAGTGTTGGTAGTGCTGGTGCTGTTGGTGTAGGACAACACGATGGGGCTACCTCTTGTAGACAATGTTGTGGCTCTTTCTGTGAGAAATGTAAGAAACATGATGAAGATTCTATCATGTATCTTCAAAAATTGAGTGAAGCTGTCAATGAATTAAAAAACAAGAGGAGTGTGAAGGGCATTGTATCAAAGAATGTGTGGCATGAATATACTTCACTGTCCAAGCGGAGAAAAGAATCATTTGTCAAGGCAATGCAAAATTTAACGAGGAAGATGTTTGGAGAAATTCCAAGGGTCGTAATGAAGGAAGTGACGGAGTATAAAAAGTTTGAATATTTATAAGCATGTCTCTATAGCTGAAAAAAAGAAAGTGTTGAATGTGACGAGTGCAAAGGATATTCGAATGGAATACGCCATGCATGTTTTTACCGGTCAAGATTTCCGGAACACGACAAGCATAAAAGTTTGGTAGGAAGACTGGGTAATCCTACTTTTTATATTATTAACTATTTATTTTATATTTTCAGCGACTACTCTTCCTAACTATTTAATATTATTTTTTTATTTCAGTATATTGACGAAATCCTTAACCTCATGCGTCAGAGGCATGTGACATACTCGGACTACTATGAACCCAGAGATAGAATCCTGGATCTAAACTTCTATACGAACTTCCTACAAAGATATAATCAAATGAGAGATGAGGCAACAAGGGTTGGTGGTAAAAGCATGAATCGGTTACTAGATGACTTTGTAGAGGATGATGTTATGATTGACTATGTCAAGGGTATTAGGCCATCTCCTGGAGGCATGGAGTGGATTGATGCAAAAAAGGATTTTGATAGTCATGAACACGACGGGTATCCATTTTGTGACTCTCGAGATTCTCTTGCACGAGGGTCGCATGAATGTTTATGACTGCAACCTGATGGTTACGGAACATGCCATGTTTTTGACACTCATACAACTAGTCTTCGAATTGTTGCCTAAATTGTTGAAGCAGAGTGAATAATGAATCATTTGCCATCGAAGTTTCTCACTCAACCATGGAAATTGAACGGTCAAACTGAACCTATGGTACAAAATGCAACTAGAGCGGCGTGTGGGTCATATTCCCTTGCATTCATTGATCATTTGATTAGTAGGATACAATTGCAACCACCCAATACATTGTTATGTGACAATCTAATTGAACGGATGCAATATGTTTGGGCTTATGAGATAATATCTCAGAGCTTAAAGCCTTAACATTATGTTTGTAATTAAAGACAATGTTTAATTTATCAATTATGTTGTTTTATTTTATCTTAAAGACAATGTAATCAAAGACAATGTTTATTTTATCAATTTGTCTGTAACAACATTTGGCATATGTTGCTGCAGCTGATTCGTCTGTCACAACATGTGGCATATGTCGCTACAGATGATTCGTCTTTAGAAACATTTGTGGCATATGTTGCTATAGCTGATGCGTATATCGCAACATTCGTCCATTACAACATGTGGCATATGTTGCTACAGATGATAAGTCTGTCACAACATGTGACATATGTCGCTACAGATGATTATATGTAGCAACATTTGTGGCATATGTTGCTACAATTGATGTGTATATGGAAACATTCGTCTGTCACGACATGTGGCATATGTTGCTACAGATGATTCGTCTGTCACAACATGTGATATATGTCGCTACAGATGATTTGTCTGTAGTAACATTTGTGGCATATGTTGTTACTGCTAATGAGTATATCGCAACATTTGTTTGTCACAACATGTGGCATATATTGCTACAGGTGATTTGTCTGTCTCAACATGGGTCATATGTCGCTACAGATGATTAATGTAGAAACCTTTGTGGTATATGTTGCTACAACTAATGCGTATATCGCTGCAACATTCGTCTTTCACCACATGTGGCATATGTTGCTTCAGATGATTCGTCTGTCACAATATGTAGCATATGTCGCTATATATGATTATATGTAGCAACATTTGTGGCATATGTTGCTACATCTTATGCGTATGTCACAACATTCGTCTGTCATGACATGTGGCATATGTTGCTACAGATGATTCGTCTGTCACAACATGTGGCATAGGTTGCTATAGATGATTCGTCTGTAGCAATATTGGTGGCATATATTGCTACATTTAATATATTTTGTTCTAAAATTTAAAACATATTTGACATATGTTGACAAATAAAGAAGAGCAACAAATCACGCATCGGGGCATTTCTACATATGATAATTCCACAACTATGATAATTGTATTGGTTGTAGACAACTGAATAATAATTTTGTATCCTCTACCAAAATTCTTCTTGGTAATGCTTAAAAATACAAGAAAAAAACAAAGAATACCAACATTAGCGTCCAGATGCTGCAACATTTAGTCTTTTTTTCTCCTTCAATTACCTATTCAGTAC